CTGTAGTTACATTGTACACTACACATGTACATGCAATCATGTAAAACTGTGCACCCGATGCACAATACAAAACCTCAAATTCTCCAAAGCCTGCATTTCAGGGAACGCTTCCAGTGCAAACTCTGCATACTTATAGACAAAGCCTCAAATTCTCCAAAGCTTGCACTTCAGGGAAAGCTTTCAGTGCTAACTCTGCATACATATTCTTCTCGGGGCACTTCCAGCACTTCACATCACCACGCACAGAGCGCAGTGGGATCAGATACAGTAGGCCTAACTTCTCTTCGAGGTTCAGTGCTCTCAATCTCCCCCTGCCTGCTTGTTTTTTCCAGTCCTTTGCATCTCAGCAGCTGGGGGAAGGGGTAGGGCTCCCAAGTACTGTTGTTTTTGGAGAAGGGGAAGGATTCTTTGGAGTGCCGAGGGGTGGTATTACTTCACGATCGACCTACGTGCTTGACAACTTGGAAGAAATGCCACTGTCTCTCAGCATTCCTCAGGTCCTCGGTCGAAAACGATTTAATCAAAATGCAAATCAAGATTTCCGGAAGAAAAAAAGATACACAGGTCTATGGGGGCCAAAAGATTAGAGCTCTTTTGTCAGAAAAAAGACTGAAGGTTTTAAATTTACTTCTCAACGCGGGGGGGTTAATCTACATTTTAATGGTGGAAGATCCAATTTGTATGTGAGTTGAATCTCAAATGTATGCTTCATATGTACGAATTTGAATAAAGACAATATTGAGCTTTAGTTTCAAGTAAACAAAATAAAAGCGTGTTCCCATGATGTCAAAGCAGAGGTGTTTCTTTGTTTGTTCTTGAGGGCATTAAAAAGGTTGCGTTGAAGGATCACTATTTAAACTTTGCATGGAAAGGAAAGGTGGCTGTGGTGAGAAACCAGACGATAACACAGTAATTTTTAGTCGAATATTAAAATGTATGTACATGTATATGAATATTCATGCCAGGTAGGTGCCCTTAAAAATTCTGCACGTTGTTTTATTAGGAGTGCAGTCACATGTATATGAATATTCATGCCAGGTAGGTGCTCTTAAAAATTCTGCACCTTGTTTCATTAGGAGTGTAGTCACATGTATCTGAATATTCATGCCAGGTAGGTGTCCTTTAAAATTCTGCACCTTGTTTCATTAGGAGTGCAGTCACATTAATATTCATGCCAGGTCAGTGCCCTTTAAAATTCTGCACCTTGTTTCAGTTATATGTGTATGAAGGAAAAAAAAAAACCTGGCTAGTTTTCATCTTTACGTGTGCTCGCAATCCGCTCAGAGCCTACTTAACACACCAACTGTAAATCCAATGCCTGTTTTGAATCTGAAACTCACATCTTCGAGTAGTGCACGTATTTTTTCTTGCAGATTTTGCTTGCGTTTGGATGCTGACATGTACAACTGTGTACATGTGCATGTCGGCCTATCAGAGTAAACCTCAATAAACATGCCAATTTGAGATTCGAATGGAGCCAGAGCCAGTTTGACCTCTAGTTGTGTCCAGTGTGTAAACAATGCCTGAGAAAACACTGCAATGACCAACCGGGCATACAAACCATGCCAGACCAGACAATTCCCGCACCCTAATCACGACACAACAATTCATTCCGCTGCCTAGGAACCCTAGCAGTAGCAGGGGAGAGATAAGGTTATTTAGGAAGACTTTTTCAACTCTCAAGCCAAGGTACGTGTACGGTGTCTGAAGTGAGACATCAACGGACATTCCATGTCATTTTTTGTCTCTCACAGTGCAATCATGACAATAACTGTGGTTCAAACCCCCAAAAGGCTAGACAAGTACAAAGTCCTCTTTAAATTCTGCTTTCCGTCACTGTTCCTTTATGTACATTGCAGCAGAAAGCACTCTGGTCATGTTATACACTACACGTTACATTTCTGCTACAATGTGGCAATCTACAAACACATGTACATGCCGCCTGGTATCTTCCTGGTTTAACTTGTACTTTCAGGTTTCGCTCACATCATGTTATACAGGTTGATTTTCTCGGGACTGGTGTCAATGAACCCTGCGACCTCAGGTTGCTATTGCTCAAGTCAAGCAAAATACGCAAATGCTAAACAAATGACCAAGTGTCTGATGAACCACGCCAGGTGGAAATTTCTGGGAAATTTAGGCCGAGAGCACTCAGGTGGTTTCCTTTCTGGAGGATGTGAAGTAGATTTTGGCTTCACATATAGCAATTTCCGATTGTCTTTATGATTTCATATCCTGCACTTGTGGTGTTAGTTTCATTTCTATCTCTAAGATATTTGGGACAGAAATGCACATACCATACATGAAGAGACAAGAACAGCATGCGTGTTTAGTACGGGCATTTCACAATAGTGCGCCTCCAAGAGTTTGCAATGCGTTGGCCAATCACACTGTGCGAAATCTGTCGACCCAATGTGCATTTGGAATGGGTCGACAGATTTTCTTGGAGGTGCACTTTTGTGAACTGCCTGTATTCTGGCAATTTTCGTTTGGGTAGGGCCAAGGTCAATGCAGAAAAAAAGCTGCCCAAATAATGTCTGGACAACTCCCCCTTAAGAACTTTCTGCATTTTAATAATCAGGACAAGTC